AGGTCTCTAATATTATTAAAAAAATAATTATTTAAAAATATGTCAGCCTGGTACTCAAAAGAAGCAAAATCATTTTAAAATTTCAAAAACAAAAAATACTTTTTATAAAAATAACAAATAGGTTTTTTTGAATAAAAACTATGGTTTTTAAACGAAAAATGAAAAAAAGGTAATATTCACAACATTTTTAATAATAAGTTTTTTTAAGTTGTTTTTTATAAAAAATGAATCTAATTTTTAAAATTTTTATAAAATTTTTCTTCTTTTGAGTACCAAGTTGACATATTTTTAAAAAATTTTGTTTTTAAATATATTAGGGACCTGTCAAATGTTTGGGGGCTTTGAGGGACTTTTAGGGCAAATAATAAAATTTAGTAAAAAATATTTTTGAACACAATATGATGGTTTTGATTACAATATGATGGTTGAATGGGAAAAACTTCAATTAGCTATGTTCTGAAAACAAATTAGCATACTGAACAGCCCTAATATATATATATATATGTATATATATATATATATATATATATATATATATATATATATATATATATATATATATATATATATATATATATATATATATATATATATATTTATCTATATATTTATATATATATATAGGGCCGGCTCAAGTAGGTGTCACGTGGGGGGTTGCCATTACAACTTTTGCCGACTAACTGCCATTTCAACTTTTGCTGACTGCCATGACGACATTTGCCAACTGTCTAACCTATATCAAAAGGGTCAACAATTGTCGACTAACTAGTCTAAAAGGGTCCAATTTGCCGACTAAGGGTCCAGTTTGCCGACTAAAAACCATTGATGAGGAAGGGGGGTGTCACACCCCCCTCCCACACTAAAACAATTCAAATTAAACTAAAACAATTCAAATTAAATAAAGAAAACAGTATAAAACAATAAAGAAAAAACCCAAAAACATTCAGAATTTATAAAACTTTTTTTGTTTTTGTATGGTTATTTAAAATTGTTTTGTTTTTATTAGTTTCCACAATTAATTATTTTCATTTTGCTTTAAATTATCTTACTTTTGTCAACTTAAAATCTGAAGGCAATTTTAAAGCTGTTACCAACCACAGTTAACCTTACTACATGGTATAGAGTATATACAGAGGTTTGATATTAGAATCAACAACTTTAAAAGCATAAAGCAATGGCTTTATGTAAAATAATCTTTTAAATTGATTAAATCAAACACTTCATTGATACACAATTTAGTTTAACAAGCTTTTCAAGATGTTTTTAAATTTTCAAATTTAGGTATATTTCTTAGACTTAAGGGTCATAAACATTTTTTTCATTCATCATTTCAAGCAAAATCATTTAGATTTTGAAAGTTTGTTATGCTATGAACTCTTTAAATGTTGACTATTTTTATACTTGATTATTTAGATTGAATTTATATATGATGAACTTCTAGGCCATTGGAGATATAAACTATAGATATTAACTAGGCCATTTGACATATGTTCTGAATCACAAATGCAGCAAGCAGTTTGAATTAGTAACTCAATTTTTAAAAGATCTAGATTGCATATGAGAAAAAATTAGCCAAAATTGTTTTATTAAATTTTATAATGTATGCAATAAAATAATGTGATTCAATTTGGTTCGCTCCAAACAGGAGTTTGTTTTAAGCCATAAAAAATGCTGGCAGTCCATGTCCTACTAAAAAAAATTAGGCTTTTTGATTATTTAGCAATTGCTACTTGCTTGGGCCCAAAAAAAACCATGATCAAATAGCAATTTACACAACTATTAGGAACCTTGATATTATTTTGTTCTAATTTGCTTTAATATAACTGAAATTGATCTTAAATTGCTAAAATTGTAGTTGAAAAGTTGGTCATAATAGCATCCGTCATACTATTCTAATTGCTTTAGTACAAGAAAAAAAAAGATCAGCTTTCTAATAAAGCATTATAAATTTCATCTGAGAAATAGCATAAAGTTTTAGTAGGGCTTGGTCTTTAACTTTTTTTCTAACTAAAGTTACATTGGTAATATTTTACTTGTACTATATATTACAGAATATCGTTCAAAATGCAAATAAAACGCACATAGTCTATACTGCTTGGTATGCACATACTTTCCCACAACCAATAAAAATATACAAATAAGGTTAAAATATGTCAAAACAGCTACCAAATTATACTGTATATGTATTTTAAAAAGTATTTAAATCATGCAAACTTTCCCTAAAATTAATAAACTTTTAATAAGTTAATTAAAGTTTCAAATTTCTTTGTACTTTCCAAACATAACTAGTAAAATAACAAAAAAAAAAATTTTTTTTCACTTGTATTTATTTTAAAAACCTAAACACACATGCTTTAAAGTGAAAAGTAAAATTTGTTGGTGATTCTAATACTTTTCACACCACTGTATATATGTATTTCTTTAAAAAAAAAAAGTTGCATAAAGATATTGTTTCTTATTGGTTATTTATTTGTTTTACAAGTTATTTTAATTTTTTTAGATTGAAAGACTAAAAGAATTTGATGCAAGAGAGGTTTTATTAAAAAATGATATTAGCCGCTTAAATTTGCAGTACCAAGAGCTAACTTTTGAATATGAGGCTACCAAGAAAATGTAATAGCTGAAAAAATTTGAAACACTGATGAAATAAGATCTTTTTTGAAAAGTCTGGTTGAGTTTTTCTTTTAAAGATATTATATATCACTACATTTTTTAGAGATCATCAAAAAAGCTTGTTTATAATTGAAAAAGAATCTGAAATTTTGCTCTTTAATGAAAAATTACTGTCATTTTCAACAACAATAAATGAAGCTAGTTTGAACTTAAGTAATGTAAAACATCAAGTTATTTGTGACTTGCTCATTCTACAGGAACTATTAAAGAAAATAAAAAATGTTTTTTGTATTATTATGGTGGAGTTTAAAAATTTTCAGAAAGAATTTTCAGAGTTGTTAGAAGAGTTTAAATTAAAAGTAATGATAGAATTGAGGAAGAACTTTGATATAATAACAAATTTAAAGATAACAATTGAGAAGGTATATTGTATTGTAACTTTTATTTTAGATATCATTGCTCATTTTATTATAGCTTATTTTATTTATTAAATATTATAGCTTATTTTATCATCATCATCATCATCATCATCATCATCATCATCATCATCATCATCATCATCATCATCATCATCATCATCATCATCATCATCATCATCATAATCATCATCATCATCATCATCAGTATATGGTTCTCTGTTCATTATTGCAACAAGGTCATCGGCTCACAGGATTTTAGATTATTGCCGTGCTGCTTAGTATTTTATAATTTTTTTTTTTTTTTTAATATTACCAATTAGAAAGATCTAAACTTTTTAGATATGTTATTTTTGAAAAAAAAATTTTGAGCAAAAACTACAAATATAAGAGTTTTAAAAAATGCGTTGCATTACCGAATGCTTAGAAAAAGTTGGTTTATGTATGGGGATCATAAAAATGACATTTGGGTATGTTTTTTTATTAATTTTCTTCAAATCAAGCTATAAACCAAATAAATCCACATTTCTAAATTTTGTCATTTTTCATATCATCCTGGCGTTTTTAAGTTTCTGAGTTCAAGTAAACTTTATATAATATATTAGTTAACAAAAAACCATTTAATAAATTTTTTATATACATTTTTAAGAAATTTTTTTTTGCTGGATATAATATTTACTAAATGGATTGTCTAAAAAATATAAACTTTGCTTGTGAAAAGAAAAAGATTTTTTGGAAATTTGGTTTTAACTGAGGTGTTGCATTACCGAAATTACACAAGTTGCATCAAACAACATTCTGGTTTTTGCTTATAAATGAATTTGAAAGGTCTATTTTGCAATGACTTTTAAGTTACTGTTTTACAATAAAACTTATTTACTCTTTTTTATCCAAAAAACAAAATTTATGCAAATAATAATTTAAGTAATAATAAGCAAGTAAATCTTTCTGTTTCATTCTTCAACATTTTGAAACCAACTTTTACTGATTTATCTTCAGATGATTTACTAAAAAAAATGTCTTCATGGTAAGATCCAAAATCCAAACAAGGCACTTAACCAGATTATTTGGAGACGCTGTCCAAAAAATATTTTTGTGGGTAGAGGATTCTGATTTTTGTGGGTAGAGGAGTCTGAAGTTAATTTGTTATTGAATTTAACAAAGGTCTTTATGGAATTCTATTTGTACTAAATAAATTTCAACTAACAGAATATGTTACGTCTATAAAACTTAATGAAAAGAATAAAGAAACTATAAAGTGGTCTCTTCAAAAGTCTACTGACAATTTCAAAAACAGAAAAAAATAAATAGGAACAATTAAAAAGGGTTACTTAGACAAAGATGATAAAGAAAAAAACTCAAAATATATTCCTGGAGAGTTTTGATATGTTTTTTTGAACTTTTTATTTTGATTTTATTTTTTTGTTTTATATATTTGTCGTTTCCTTAGAATTAAATTTTTCCTTGAATATAAATCATTAAAACATAATAACTTTAGACTCGTTTAAGCTTTTAATCTAACTTTTTTTTTGTTTTCACATAATTAAAAAGGATCCGGATGAGAGAAGGATATTTAAAATAAAATGGGAAGTGTTTTTTTATGAGACTAGTGCTGGCCATTTGTCCAGGAATTTTTTTATATCGTTTTAAATGTTGTAATCTTTTATATACTGTAAGTAATAAAAAAATGCTTGACTTATCCAGATTAATATACCTCATGAGTATATACACCAATTTTCAGCTTGATATGATAAATATTTTGATTGCTAGCTTGTCACAAAAATTGCTAGTTTTTTCATTCATTTCTTAAATTATTGGGTAATAGAGACATTTTTTTTTTAAGTTGATTTTTGTAAATAGTTTATAGAACCACATCTTTGGTGAAAAAGTTAAATCAAAAATATTTTGCAAAAGTTAGCCTTATCTGTGGAGCTAATAAAAACTTATTTAAAATCCATACTTTAAAACAACAATCTTTACCATGCAAAATAAGAGTTGTTTATTTGCAGTTTTTACAATTGAATAATGTTATTTAGAATTGAATAGTGTTATTTGGAAAAAGTGCCTTAAAAGTGTATTTGTGTCAAGGAAAGTATTAGAATTAGCTGTATTTTTATCCATTATTGAATTTAATGATGGATTTATTAAAATGGAACCTATTTTTGGGCATGGCAGTATAATCTTGATCTCCATGACCCAGTATACATAGGTTTAAGTTGTATACTAGAAATAAGATTATTTATTTAATGCCACCCATTCATCTTGAGACAAACATTTTATGTTTATATAAAAGTTGATTTTCTTTATATATTAAATATTAATGCACAGCGCTATCTGAAAATTTGAATAGGTTAAAAAATATTTATGCACCTTCAACGGCCATCTCACCAAATCCATAAAATCAAAAGAATAGCCATAGCTTTTATAGATGAGGAAGACAAAGCAAGATTTCAAACATTTTTTGAAATCTTTGGTTTTCTCAAATCTTAGATCAATGAAACAATAATATTTTGTCAGTATGTTTGTTTTATCCTAATGATTGGTTGCTTCCAAGTTTTAACTTAACAAGTAAAAAAAATTGTAAAAAAAAAAATTGTCATCAGTCATCGGAGCACGATAATAGAGCAAAATAAATTTGTGTAAAAAAGTATATATACAAAATTACACCCATAAAATACAACACATTAGCATTAACTTTAACCGCAATTTTAATTTTTAAGCGTGAAGAACAAAAACTTATGAATGCATAAATACTTAAACAATATTTACAAAAACCAAAATTTGTATTTTAAAACACAAGCTTTATATCCAGATTTGTTTCAACTTATTTAAATTTTTTTGCCCCATTTCGTCCTATTCTTTTTTTTTTCAAAACTATTTATTGTTGTATAACTAACAGATTTTTATCATATATTGTTACGGTACCATACCTAATGATAAAAAGCATATTACCAGAACCTTTTGTATGTTTCCAAATAAGTTTTTTTTTATAGTCTTTAAAATTCTTGAACTAGTAATATAGCAATTTTTATAAATACAAACCAGTTTCTATGTCAAAGGCCAATTTAAAAAAAAAAAATTATTTAGGTGCTCTAAGAAGTCCTATCTGTCTTATCATCAGAAGTCCTTAGCATTGCTAAGCACTTCTGATGATAAGACAGTTAAAAGATTAGTTGAAAAGTGCTCTTTTTACCACCAATATGAAACAAAAAAAAAAGAAAGAAAAAGCCTAGATCTAAAGATAAATCAATAAAGTGATAATGTTAGCTAATATGGTTCCACTCTACTCTCTCTCTCTCTCTCTCTCTCTCTCTCTCTCTCTCTCTCTCTATGCATATATATATATATATATATATATATATATATATATATATATATATATATATATATATATATATACATAAGTTTTAATAGTTTGTTACACTTAATTGAATTTTTTATATTGTTAAAAAAATTTAATCAATCAACTTTGTTTTAAATCAGTAACCTAGCTAATATATAATAAATTTTTTTATGCTAGTATATACAAGTAAGTGCATGCAAGTGCATTTAACAAACTTTTTTAATAGTAATGTATTTACAATATTTATAATTAAAAATAGATTTTTTTTGGATTAAATCTTCAGGGTTTTATCACAACCTTTTGGGACTAAATTCAATCTAAAATTGTTAAAAATTTTGATATTTATTGACTTATGGAACTTATTGTTATGAAGCCCAAAGTCCTGAAGTCCTTACCGCTATTATACCTAAAGACTCCAGGTTTGAAAACTAGAAAGAAAACTGTACAGAAGTAATGTTTTTGTGACTTTTAAATTTGAAGTTCTCTTTGGGACACTGCATCCATCATATATAGATATAAAATATGAATATTATATACATATAATTTATGAATATTATATACATATAAATTATGAATATTATATACATATAAATTATGAATATTGTATAAATACAAATTATGAATACTATATACATAAAAATATAAATGCAATAAGAGCAAAATAAACTATAAAAAAATTCTATGATATCTTTGAAAAAATATACAGGATCAAATTGATATAATAATTAAAACCATGAAAATTAGTCTGTGTTGCGGTTGTTGAAGAAGTTTGATTTTTAAACTTTAATATGTTTTTCTGAGAAATGACACGTTTTAATTGTCTTCAAATGTGCATTTTTTCACATTTGATGCTGACATCAATAGAATGAGATATTTTAATAGTATGATCCAGTAGCTTGAATATATCCATCTTTTTCTTCAAAAAACAAGAAAATAAATTTATAACTTTTAAGAATTAAAAAAACAAAAGAGATAAAAAATTTTTACTTTACAAAACCTAATGTTAAATCAAAAATCAAAAAAGGGCATCTAATTTAATGAAAACTGTCATGTAAAAGAGTTTAAGATCTTCTACTTCTGTTTTTAAACTTTGCATTGCAAAATATATAGACAATTCCAAACTGAATGTTTAATGAATTAAGCAAACAACTTTAAAAAAGATATGAAATATATTACAAGAATAGCGACATTTATCTTTTTCATCAGGTTTTGAAGGCTACTCTTGCAACTGTGTAACTTAAAAAAAAAAGTTGTTTTACCATTTGAAACTTAATTGAGCTTGCACACTCTGCACATTTGTTTGCAATTAATTCAGCGGTCAAAAATATATTTGAAAACTTTAATAATTTTTTAACTAACTTTATTAGATACTTTTGATTATACTTGCCAAATAAATTGACTTTAGTAACCTTTGAGCTAAACTATTTAATGTTTTTTAATTTTATTATATTCATCATTATCTTTTGAAGAAACAAAAAATAATAATGTTGAAGTATGACTAAAAGTTTTTTGTCAGACATATTACTTAAATACACATAAAAATAATACAAGAGAAAAAGTTAATTTTTTTATTAATTCTTTATATTTATGAAGATAACAACTGATGCAATAATATCATATCTGATGTAAATATAACTTAAACTCTTTGAAATTATATTATAACTGTTTAAAAAAATACCATCTATAATTTTAACACTATATTCGTAAATAAAATAAGGAAATAGATAAATTCATATTTAAAAATTACTGGCAAATAATAAGTTCCACATCTAAGCTTTGTCGATAGAGTTCTTTAACACAACCATCTTTCAATTAGATTTTGTCCTGAGTAAAACAAGAAATTTTGGGAGTGAGTGGTAATCTAAACTTTTTTTTTTATGAGTAAAATCTTTTATTGTAAAGCAAAAAGAATTCTTAATAGTCATATACTTAAGAAATAAAAATTATAACTTTTATGTCAACTTAAAAGTGACTTAAACCACTCTGATTCTATCCAGTATATTAATAATAATATTATTAAAATTTATTAATAATTTTATTGTAAGCTGGTAAAATCCTAATGTTTTAGGTGAAATTTTAAGTAGAAGACTTCAGAATAGAATCAGAGTGGTTTAAATAAACTTTTACTTAATTATTGAGTAGATATCGATATACATCACTTCACTTTTGGCCAGCTCATACCCTTTTGGTATTTCACAAATTAGTTTGTAATGTTGGATAAACTTTAAAATTGATTGTACTCAAAAAAATATATACACTTTTAAGTTAACGGGTTTCTTTGTCTTAATTTTGTAAATAAAAATTAAGTAAAAGAATTTTTTAACTTTGATCTTAAACTTTACACATGTCTAGTTGTATAGATTACTGATATATATTAGATTTCCATAAATGTACTTCCTAAAAATACAATTTTGTTTTGATACCAATATATTTTACATTATTTTCGTGCCAGCTGACGACATAAACACTTAATGAAAAAAAATAAAATTATTCAAGCTGCAAAACCGAACACGGAGTTGCAATAGCGAACAAAAAAGTTGCACTAATGAACAGTAGATACTTTACCAAACAAGCATGTTGTGATACAAAACATTTAATTTGCATTACTGCACATTCATATGATCATCGTCATCATCATCATCATCATTAGACGAACTTCTGTATAGAAACTCTACATTTTTACGGAAGATTCCTATTTCACAAGGGTTGACGATAACGTTATAGTTTTTGCATCAAAAGCTCAGAAATTTTTTAGATTACATTCTTAGCATCAAAATAAATTGAAAATAGAAGAATTTTTGAAGATAGCGCACAAAAAGTGATGTTTGTGTCGTGTTTCTATATTTGTCGTTATCAAGTTTAAATTTGCTATGAATTAGTTTAATTTTTATTTAAATATGTGGCTAGCACTAATCTTAAAAAACTAAGAAAGTAATTTACTCGTTTCACTAACATAAATATCCGCTGTTTTTGAAAAAAGAGAAAAAATATTTGGCACTTTTTCTACTGTGTATTTGTTACTATTTTGACAAGAAAATGTTTAGTTGCGAAAATTTCTCCGTTTCAAGTTAATGCAAAAGTATACATCCTTTTGCAAGATACATTACAAATGTTTTATTTTGTGAAACATTATATTTTTTCCGAAATATTTTTGTGTCTTCTTTAATCCTATGATGTTATTTTGTCAATTCATCTCATAAGGATTTTGTTGTAGCAATTTCTAATAAACGTATGGTATAGAAATACTGCAACAAAGTCAAGTTTCTATACAAATTTTAAAAAAAGTAACAAATAACGACAAATTATCTACTTTATTGACAAATTCAATTGATTAAACATTCTTTATATAAAATTTAATATTGCTTCAATTAAAGTTTCAAAAAAAACAATTATTTCACACATGCAAAGTTATATAGGACTGAGTGATATATTGTCTTTATTGTCACTGGTATAGATTCTCTACAAAATTGTCGTGTTTCTACACCAAAACTTTTTACATAAAATGTTTTCAGATTAATACTCGAATAAAAAGATTTTGTGTAATCTAGCGAATGAATATTTTTTCTTTTCTTGATTTTAATATGTTCTTCGTAAATAAAATAAACAAACTTTATCGTTTCATTGTAATTATTGCAATGCGGCGTTGATTAAACTTAGACATAGTCATCATCTGTATAGAAATCATACTTGCAAGTATTGTTTCTATACAAAAAAATTCTGTTTATTCGGTTTATCAACATATTCATCGTTTTGCAGGAAGAGTTTTACTCATTAAGTAAATTTTTTTTTCTATCACAAAATAAAAAGATATCTTTTATTGATTTATAAAATTTTTCGCTTATTTCACTATAAACTGATTCAACAACATAACAAATTAGTTTACGGTTCTCATCACTTGTATAGATTTTCTACCTTCTAGCACCCACCCACGCACGCACACACATTTTTGCTGAGTTTTATGATTAACTGGTTTTGTTTAGACACAATTAATTTCAAGTATAAAAAAAATATAAAACTATTATAAACAAAAAATTTCAATACATCATTGAAATCAAATAATTGTTTTATATGCGAAACAACAAAAATACATAAAAGGTAGGATGCGCTTTTTTAGTCAAAATTTAGGAAAAATCAACTCTGACTTAAAACATTCTCTGCCTTGGGGCTCTTGGTTGAGTAAAAGCTAGAGATTCTTAAAAAAATATTCATCTTGGACAGATGATTAGCGCATCCGGCTACTGTCTTATAGAAAGCACTTAGGCAAACACTTAAGGGGTAAACAGATTCTATCTATTGACCAGTCTCGCACCTCTTCTTCATCTATTAAGCTGGCGCGGTTATATTTGTAATACAGTGTTTCCAGTTAAGGATAATAAATACTGGATCTTCGTGACTCAATTTATGGGTTTTTTTAATTATTGCAATGCGGCTTTGATTAAACTTAGGCATTGTCATCATCTGTATAAAAATCATACTCGCAAGTAATGTTTCTATAAAATAAAAACTCTGTTTACTTGGTTCATCACCATATTCATTGTTTTGCAAGAAGAGTTTTACTCTTTAAGAAAATATTATTATCTATTACAGAATAAAAAGATATACTTTATTATCTTATGAATTCTTTCGCATATTTCACTATAAATTGATTCAACAGCATTATAAATTAGTTTCCAATTCTCTTCACTTGTATAGAATCGCTACCTTCTAGCACACACATGCATGCACACACCTTTTCCCTGAATATTCAACATCAACATCAAATCAACATGTTTTGTTTAGACACAATCAATTTCAAGTATTAAAAAAACATAAAACTATTAAAGACAAAAAGTATTCAATACAATATTGAATACAAATAATTATTTTATATGCAAAATAACAAAAAAATATAAAAGGTGTAAAATGCATACTTTTTATACAAACTTTCAATTAAATATATGATTTAATTGAAAATTTGTATTTATATTTGAAGCTATAGCGAATCATTTATAAATTGTTTGGTCACATTTTTTATTTCTATCACCCAATTTTCCACCAACAAAATCTTATGATATCTGTATAATCACACCTTTGGTCCAAAGTTTAAAGAACACATAGAAAACAACACTTTATTGCTACATAGTGTCAAATAAGGCAATCTGCACAGAGTTACGCTATCATTAATGTCGTTAGGATGTTGGTATCTCTATAAAGAAGGGTTCATGTGGTATATTGTTATGGCGCCCGAGTTTGTTTAAGGGCCCAAAAAAGAAAAAGCTAAAAAAAAACCGTAAACCATTTCATTGTGTACTTTCTCATCACCAAAGACAG